CCACACCCACACCCTCAATCAGGGAGGGTATGGGTTAACAGAAAAGACAGGCCCGTACTCACACTCACATCCTGAATATGAACATGCACACGCACCCGCCCATGCTCAACCTCACATACACATCATTATGTTATTATATTTATTCAAGTATCGTCAACTATAGGTTGTGCACGAGACAGTAGTTTGACAATTGTTTTTGTTATAGAAGGTATTTTGGTCATGAAGAAACAATCTACTACGTGCTATATTTTTCGTGGAAAACCCGGAGTCGAGCTTCGAAACTCAAGCCATTCTATGAGTAGCTGTTGATCAAGTTGTCAGGCAATGGAGTATGCAAGCACATCGACATTATACGGTCCCAACTCTGAATTCGTTCGTTCGTTCGTTTTCCAATGTCTCTAGGTTGAGGGTGGGTGGGTGTGAGTGTGCGACGCGTGCTGGTGTGGATTGTGACTGTTAGTCTTTTTCTGTCGCACATCCGCACCCTACACCCCAAAATTGAAAAAATCTCTTGTGTTTTGCTCCCAATAAACTGTATATACCATTTTCACAACTTGATGAAAGCATTTAATATATTGTTATGCAGCTAAGAAAGAAATAGCTATGGATATTTATCAGTAAGGGAAATATAGGTGATTGAATAAGTAAAGGCAACACAGCACACGCACACACAAGTATAAAATAAAAGTTTCAAAACAATAAAAAAGTTCATTTCGATTTAATTATGGGAACTAATCAATGAAGATTATATATGTTTAACTGTGTATTATACAGTATTATAAAGTTATTTCAAGATTGTCACTTTGTCTTGTAGATGTTATTATATTACATAGTGTTAGCGGTTGTATTTGATTTTCTTTATATAAATTTTTCAATTATTCTTGTTGTTGAATTTTTTCATTTAAACCTTTCAAACGACAACAAATGATTTCATGAAATGATGTTCGAAAATCTCGATCAAATTTAATGTAAATTAGTGGATGTAACATTGACAATGAATAAGTAAACCACAATAAAACTGAATCAATCCAGGCAGGTGCATTCAATGATTTGGGTGTGCCTGTTAAACCTGTTATATGCTCATGCAAAGGCTTTATTATTGCATATAACATAAATGGACTCCAACAAATAATAAGTAATCCAACCATTACACCAAGAATACGTACTGCTTGTTCATTTCGTGATGCTTGTTCAACATTTGCTGATGTAGTATTATGTGTTAAAAATGGAGACATTTGAAAACTTGATCGACGATTTACTACTATTCGATAGGTTTTAACATAGATGATTAGCATTGCAATAGTGGGTGTGTAAAATCCAACTAGTATTGAAAATATTTGATCTGCTAATTTTGGATTTACTTGACAAATTGGAAGGCTATCTGAAGGACCTAAAGTAAAATAGATTATTGTTCGATGATTTTTTTTTCCAAGAATAAATAAGAAAGGATTTAATTGAATTAATATTAAGAATATAGATTTTTATATAAAAATTTTGTTTTAGAATTTCCGATGAACAAGTGAGATAGTCGATTAATATTATTCGTTCATTGTCAAAAAGAAAAGTTCATTAGGTAGTACCTAAACACTCATATCAAAATATACACTACGATAAACAGCTTATCATTGTTTTTAGCAATTATATATGTCCGGTTATGATTGATCGAATTATAGTTCTAGATAATCAGCTTTTATTCATATAGAATTGATACATACGTCCCCAGCCCAGGATTGGTGGTAATGAAAAAAGTGCACTGACTATCCAGACACTGGCCATCATGAATATAAGGAATTTAATTTTATGCATTGAAGTATATTTAAATGGATATTTAATAATACAATAACGATGAATTACTATAATGAGAGTAATAAGTACTGATGAAATACATAAAAGAACATCAATTGATGTCCATAGATCACACATGACTGAACCTAATATCCATTCATTAGATATTTCAAGTACTAGAAACAAAATGGATAATCAATTTTTTTGATTATGTATAAGTTGTTAAAAAACTTACTCAAAGCCACTGGCATAATAAATAAGCCGACTACAAGATCATTTACAGCAAGATTAAAAATTAGTATATTTGATGTTGTTTTTAATTTTTGTACAAGAGAAATGGCAAGTATAACAATTAGATTTCCAATTATTGTTAAAGTAAACATCAATAAACAAACAATAATAATGATAATTAAGTGTATTAAATGTCGACTGTCATTTGCTTCATATTCTTCAATATGTATTTTATTAATAAGTTCATCATTGATTGTTGTTGTTCCATTTGTCTGTGTAATTAAAGATAAAAATAGAGTTTCTCGTTTGTTTTCATTGACAGTTTGTTCTTGGACAGCACTCATCGATGTGATCGATGAAAACAACAATAAAAGTACAGTACATATTGATGTATATTTTGAATAAAGTAACGGTTGAAAAATTGATAATGACAGTTGATAAATTTGGCAATCATCTAAAAATGCCAATATTGACTCGAAAAACAAGAGACTTTATTTATTATTCAAGTAGACTTAATAACTTAACCTTTATCTATTAGTTTCGAAGAACATCGACTTTTTCAGAATACACATTATTAAAAGAAAATGACTTTTATACCAGTCGATCCTTTGATTACAACATTTATTTTCTATTATACTAATATAACTATATTCGATCACTAGTGATCATGTTTAATACAAAATTGATACTGTTGCATCTTGATCTCATCACTAAATTTCTGTGCAAAAAATAGAACAAAGACAATAGAAACCAGTAGTATAAACGTTATGTACGACTGATATGAAATATGGTAGATGTAACTTTTAAGATCTTTGAAATAGTATAATCGATTGTGGAGCAGAAAAGATAGTCTTGTTATTCTTTTTTGGTATTATGAGCTTGATAGAATTATATTATGAATTATTGTTTCTCATTTCCATATTTGTTAAAAATGTAAACTCTCAATATCTTTTGTTTAAAACGATTGAATATAATGACTAGTTATAGCTTAAATAACGTTGATGAAAGATATTCTAAACTAAAACTAGAAGACACGCATATTTTCATTTTACTAAATAACTAGTCTTAGGATTTATTTTTTACCCATTCCATTTTATATATACCCTCCCCCCCCCCCCCCCCCCCCCACACGCACACAGAATAGAAGCCCCGGGAGTGTCTCTGTTCCACAAGCTATAACTTTGTAACAAAACATGCTTTGATGCCAGTTTTTGCGTTATTCGATAGAGAGATGTTGATTCTTTTCATTTTTCATAGAGTGAACCTCGATTTTCAACAGAGAATTTAAATCCAGGGGTGGATTTCTATTCTGTGAATGGGAGGGAGGGGATTAGATATGCATAATATCAAAGGATAAATGCAATAGATTGCCTTAAGTATTAGAGATCTTCTTTAAAGCTAAATGAGTTGATTTTATTTGAAATACTTACTGTAACCTTTCATCGTGTGTATAATGGACAATAATAAAGATTAGTAGCAGAGGATGATGGCAACGACGAAAATCCGACTCTAAATGAAGAGATTATTGTAAAAGATACAATAGGAAAATAATTCATCCATTCGACCATCATAAATAAGAAAAAAAAACGAAACAAGCATGGCTCTCGACATTGAAAAGAAGACGTCCATATAATTACAGAAGAAAAAATAATCTTATTTGTCTGATTTCTTGCTATGTATTTATGTTGTTACAAGAGACTTATCAACATATGTATGTTAATTATAGAAATGTTATTGATGATAAATATGATAGGTAAACTATGAAAAGAAAACATCAGTGTATTCATTCATCTTTTCTGCTATCACATATACACATACATTTTGACCTTATTGACCTTTTCTTTCTCTTACGCGCTACACATGATTTGTGATTTATTGATAATTAGCCTACCTCATGGCGGCCAATTATCACAATCCACAGAACCAGTTTATTCATCGTAAATCGGTTCAAAATTCTCGTCATGATTCAACAGCTCAATTGGTTAGTAATTCGGATGTAGGTGTGGGCGTGAGTATGAAAAAGAGGAAGACATCCACATCCTCACACCGACACTCACACGCACACCCACACTCTCTGTAATCGGGGGGAGGGGTATCTGTAATGTTGTCTTTCTTCATTGCTAGATGTCTGTAATGCGGAGGGGAGAGCCGCCCAAAACTTGAACTGAAAACTTACACTCACTATTTTCTTCGAAAATATACGTGGATTCTACAAAAAATGCGATGCAACAACAAGTTCTCTTATAGTGGATCTAGAAAAGAATCTATCACTACCGACTGATTGAAGGACCTTTCATATTGAAGTTGTGTGACATTGTTTGCTCTTGACTTTAGTGAGATGCCTTCATTCGTATTTCGAAGTATAGAACTATTTCATATGAAAATGGTCCCAGACAGTGTGCGGATTTCATTATATCTGATTAGCCTTTTTCACGATATCACATGAATTACGTACATGTCATCATAATTAAGTGGATTCTACTACGTAGTGCTAGTGTTCTTCAAATATTTACCATGTATTGCTCCATGAAATTAATGAAATGTTGTTGTAGAAATTGAAGTCAATTAAACATTGACTACAAGTATTGTATTCTTATGTTCGATATATATCATGAGATCCATTAACAAAACAAACATGAAACAGTGAATCTATGATATTTTATAATATCTGTTAGCAAACAAGGCAGTGATAATCACGGCAGATGCCGTGGAGCTTCTAACATTTGAGGAATTTAGCTATTCTAAATGTGCTGAGGGCTACACCATGTGATGATATTAAATACTGAAATGTTTGGAAGCACGATTAACATGGACTAAACAAGCTATGCCGGTCCTCTCTTTCTGTTTGCGTCAAACTTCATCCTTATATGTAAAACTAGAAAAGCCATTGGAAATTCAATATTAGAGCTTGCCGCATTCTGATCTAAAAGGTTAGAAGAAAGTTGTTTTTGAAAAATACAATTGGTAGAGGAGACAAGACTATCTGATTGACAAATTCAAAGAGTTTTATTTCAGTTCGATCATTACTTTTTGGACATTTCATCGAGTTTTCATTCATGCATCCAAGAGTACAATTAGCTCTGTCAAGTGTGTACTGCTGCTAGTTCTGCCGAGTCGCAAACATTATTTTTTTTGTTGCTTATGCGTATAATGAAAAAAATATGACACGATTGGAAAGCAAAGGAAGCGCTGAAGTGGCGGCAATTTTTCTTTGTAAGTGTTGGTTGCTGCATAAATAAGAGACTTTTTTTCACAGAACTTGAGTAAAGTGAAAAAGTGGCAACTTTTTTTGCGCTAGTAGGAGACAGAACAAATAGTCGCTCATATTCTCAGATCTGAAGAAGATTGATATACAAGGGTTTTTTGCTGGAAAAATTCAAGCACAGCCTACAATACATTTCTAATTTTGGAACGAGTCGTAGTGACTTCAATGCAGCATGCAAATCTTAGTGAATGAATGTGATCGAAACTGCTGTGACGAATTTTTCATCGCAAAATAATTGCATACATTTGTATGTTAGTGTAATCTACTTTGTTCTCTTTGTACGTGTATTTAGTATATGGCTCTTTTCTCATTTAGAGAAGTGGAAAATCAATTTAAGACAAAGTGTGGGGCATGATATATGAAAATAGAATACGGACATCTACTCAGACATAGAAAAATGTCGAAAAAAAAAACATTATTTTCTTACGCAATTGATATCACTCTATAAAATACAACACTTAGTTTTCTCTTATTATTAAATTTTATTCTGATCGATTATTATTAAGACTTTTGTGAAAACATATGCAGTTTATTTCAAAAGCATAGAGAAAAATTAAAAAGAAAACAAACAAATCAATTTATTTCTTCATTATCACCGACATTTGCTTCATCATAAGCAGTTGAATGAAAATCAAAGCCAATATCACATGGTATAAAGCATAATAATGAACGTAGAGCTATACTAGCTTATGAGTTTGATGAATTTCTATCATCATTTTCGTTTCTCGATTTGATTGCACGAGTACGTTGTTGCATAAAAACGTTGTTTAATAAAACGAGCTGCTTCTTGATCAAATTTTGCACGATTTCGAATCAACTAAAGTAAGCAAATTAATTACAAAAAAAAAACACAACAACAACAATAAAATTTTACTTCATATACTCTTGGTTGAGTATTTTTATCTTGTGTTCTCAAATGTACTTCTGATACAGGAATGTCACGTATTGATACACGATTTTTTAATGATTCAATACTTGTTAATGGTATAAAACATTCACCAATAAAATCATCCTCTTTTATTATATCTTCATCCCAAACACTCAAACGTAAAACAGCACCAGATGTGTGTACAATATTTAATGGAAGACGATGCCTTTAGAGACCAAAAAAATTTCATTTGTAATGAAAAATTATTCAATTAAAAAGTAAATCTACCATTGAAATAATTGATTATATTCTGGATTAAGTGTTTGTTTTATTGTATTCGTTCTATCTTCTTTTGGATAAAGTGTTGATGGTAATAATTCAAGAACAACATATGGATCTGATGCACCAAAAACATCCATTTTTGGTAAATCTCAACAAGAAAGAACTTTATATAAAAAAAAAATATATATATATATATATTCATTTATTCTAAAAATAATAAAATAAATCAACATACTATGAACATAAATAGTAATAAGTTCATTGACGATTTCATATGCAGTACGAAAAACAATTATACCATTATTTGTTAGACATTCATACTACAAATAAATAAATATACACGACAAAGTTTCAAAGAGTATTTACAAGAGAATATGTTTGAGTTATTTCTTGAAAATAAATTAATTGTAATTGTTCAGTTGATAATGTAAATTGTTGCAGTATATGTCGAAATGTTGTTATTTCTTCACATGATGGACCAGGTATATCTGATTCTTCACGACATACATGTTCAAAATATGCAGTCAAACGATCAAATGATTGTAAAATACGTTCATAAAAATCTGGTGATTCGTGCAATAGTAATAATTCTGTTAAACATTGTAATGTTTTTATACGTATAGCACAAGCAATAAGAAAATATTGAACTGATTCAAGACCTTCATAGAATTTATAAAGAATTTCTTGATCGATATATTGATGTACATCTTTCATAGACTAAAAATTATATTCGACAAAAGTAAATATAGTATATTTATTTATTTATTTTCTTACATCGACTTTTTTACATTTTTCATCTTCATAATATTTGGAAATTTTATCTTTTAAAGATATAAAAAATAATGTGGTAACACGTTTAAATATAAGTTTAATAACATCATTCATTTTATATTCAGCTGTTGTTATTAAACGTTCAAGTGTTACTTTTATTTGTTGGAAACCTGTTGAATCATAATTTTCATTCATTTTATCAATAATAGTCGAGAAATTTAATAAATTTGGTAAGAATGAAAGAAGTTTTCGTTTAATATATTCAATATCATTAACTAATATACATAATTTTTTTGAAACATTAAATGATCGTGTACGATTTAAATCACTAAAATATTTATTTTCTAATAATTTATGTGCTGTACGTTTTGCATAATGTTGACATTGTTCACATATTGTATTTGTTAATTTAATAAGTGCTGTATAACGTATATTTATATCAGGATAATCAATTGATTCCCATTCTTGATAAAGCTAAATTAATTTAATTGATACAAATATAAGATGATGAATGAAAAATATACCTTTATACATAAATTGGTAGCTACCATAGTTGATTGAGAATAATGAATATCTTCATGAGAAACAATCTTTAAAAAATCATTCTTTATATCATTTTGTCAAATCATTCACATATCATTTTGTCAAATAGAGTAAGGGAAGATATGGACTTCAAAATTAACATTTACGATTATATGAGGGTGTTGGCTATCGATATTTCATAGAGATAATGTGAACAAAGAAGTACATCATCTGAACTAATGTTCACACCAGAATTAAAGAGAGATGGATGTAACCTTAATAGCTCGATAATGCTAATAGTTATCGACCTGAGACGTTCAACAACCGAAAGAACAGAACTCTTGACGTCTTTTTGTTTGATACTATATAAGACAATATCTTTCTAAAAATTTCAAAAACATACATGAAAGCCCCTCTATCAAAAAGACATATGGACTTCTACTCTTTCAATTGCTAAAAACTGCAAGTCGATAGCTATTGTTATAGTCAAGTTATTTAGTCAACATTCATCTCATTTTGATTCTGGTGCGAACATTAGTTTAAATCAAATCTGTCGGTCTGATAGACACCTGTCTAACCATTAGACCGAGCCAAATTTTGAAATTTTAGCCTAGTCTGATACATCCATATAAGATTCAGTCTGCTTAACACGCTAGAACAGACCATAGTTGTTCACCTGACTCATATATTTTGGAAATCAAATGTGGATACCCTATCTTATTATTCGATTCTAGCAATAAATACTTGAACCGAACATCAATTTAGTGCTAGAGGGCTTATTTTGACTGACAGAAAGATTTGTTTAGATCCAAAATAATCGGGTAGTAAATTTTGCATTCGTAGCATTGTGGAAATTGATTGTTAAATGTAAATGTTCTTGTCTGTTATTATGGTTTACTCCTAATTCGTTCTCTTTGTAATTGTTTCGAATTTGGACCCCAAAATTTGATTCCGAAATCGTTCTCACTTTATTTAACAGTCGAAGAAAACGAAATAACAATGTAGACTTGCTTCTCGAACAATTGCTTAAACAGTTCTCTGATGGACAAATCACTAAGATGGATTTTGTCATTAAATTTGGTCTAACTGTTAAGACTACTTATGTCAAATTTTTTTTTTGTACTTCTTATGCTTGTAAAAGAAAAAATGTTGATATTATGACAAAAAATTATCTTCCTTACTCAATAAAACTACATTCGTATTGTATGTATATTTAATTTAATCAGGAGACGAATCGATAGGGGAATGACACTGGTGACGAATCAGGAGTGGTCCGTTATTATAAGTATCATTTGTTCTCTACATTTTCTTTTACCTCTTCGTTCTATGTCTGATTATATATGTTGTTTTTGTTATCATAGTTGGACTTTTTGATTATGTAAAACAATACTGATATAATCAAAAAACATTGCATTAATTCGAGCCTTTCTTTTATGAAAAATATTTTTGATAATTTTCTCTTTATTTGGATTTCGCTATTCGTGAATCCTTTCCGATAGTTTCTAGTTAATGGAAACTCATCAGAAAGCATTCACTTTCCTTTTAAACATTGTAGACTACAAATAATTTTATCAACAGTAAATTTCTATAAATAGAAAAAAGAATAATATGTTTGATTATGTAATTAGAGAAAGATAGAGAATTTGAAAATATCACTTTTGATCAAGAAAGAAAAATAATAAGCAAAGCATAGGATCATTTAATTTTTGAATCATCTATTATATAAACTAAATATAACTTTTTCTTACTTCATTATCGACTTCTATTACTCTCCCAATTGCTTGTCTAATATATGCAGCAAAACCTTCTAATAAAAACTTCATTATTGGAGAAAACCATTGATGATATTCAATTAATTTAAATTTAAATATATTTGTTTGCCAATCTCTATTTAAACAAGAAATAAACAAAAAAAAGATAATTAGATTAATAAATAGAAAATAAATCTACTCTGTTTCAAGAATATCTTGAAATAATATAATAATTTTTTGTAAATATAAATATAAATTTAATAGTATATTTGAACTTTGAATTAAATTTGGATCATATATTGATGAAGTTACTTTAATCATTGGTTTTGAATATACTTGAAAATATTCTATCATATTTTTTAATAAACATTTTGTTAATTCAGTTAACTAATAAATATAAAATAAATTTATTCTATAGATAATATTATCATATCTTACACGATCACTTGCACTATTGTAGTGAAAAAAACATGTTTTTATATAATTTATATTAACTAATGAAAAGATTTTCTGATATTCTTTTATAATTAACATTGATTCAGTTAATTTTTCAATAAATTCAATAAATTTTCGAACATTAGTTAATTGTAGACCATTCTTATCCTGAAATATAAATGAATGAATACTAAATGAATCATTAATATCCATTTGTAAACGAGTTTTGATCATTTCTTCAAGATGTATTTTGATTGTTGATTCATTTGAACAGATTTTTAATTGAAATAGAATAGAAATTGTTCTAAAAACAATTCATTATTGAAATATATTTAATATATTCCATCTATTCAGAGTCATATTATAGAAGAAAAAGATCTAAATTTTTTTTTTCAGATCTATATGATTCAAATAGATGTATTCAGAAATTTGTCCTCTATTTGAAAAAATACTTTTTATAAATCGATCTTTTTTTGCGTTTATTTTTTTTTAATAAAATAATCTATTTAGTCTTTTTTTTCATTTTATTGAAATCAAATATAAACATACTCGAATATACTTTGAATATTTGATAAATTTTCTCTCGAGGGTAAAAACCATGATGCATCATTACGTATACGTTTTTTATAATGATCAATAAATAAATAAAAAATATCTTTAAATATTGTTTTCTAAAATGCAACACAAGATATTTTTTTTTTGTTTTTTTACAAACAATAACAAAATAAAATAATTATATTAATTTTACTTCATAATCAGTAATACCCAGATCATTAACATCAGCTCTTTGTCGTATTTGTTCTATGAATATTTTCAAGTAAGCTTCAATAACATCTTGACTTATAAATAATGCATAATCTTCTGAACATCGAAGTTCCATAATAACAAGTAAGTGTCTATTGATTTACATATATAATATCATTACATTCAATTCTTTATTATTTTATACTTACATAAATGCTTGTGATAGAACTGAAATATTGTGTAAAACACGAAATTGTGTAAGAACACTATATGATAATTCATTTAATGATCCACTCCAATCAATAACTAAATCATTTGATTTATTATTTTTATTCTAGAAAAAAAAGCTGTTAGCGCAATCCCTTGCGGGATTAAAAATGTGAAACACGATGTAGCTTCTATACCCGATGTTGCAAAAGCTGTTGTTTTTTATGCATACTGATATACATTTCTTCATAATGGTTTACCTTACATTATGGACTTTCAACAGGATAGTACTCTATATACGCTTCAATCATTTCTTAGTTATGCATCATCTGTGATATTTCCTTGAAGTCTTCTATCAGAGTCTATAATGACCTCTGAGTTCTGTCTGTCACAGTCTGTGATGGGTCTAAAACCTGTCTGTCACGGTCTGTGATGGGTCCACAGCCCTGTCTGTCACGGTCTGTGATGGGTCCACAGCCCTGTCTGTCACGGTCTGTGATGGGTCCACAGCCCTGCCTGTCACGATCTGTGATGGGTACTAGGATTTTTCTGTCACGGTCTGTGATGGTCTTTCCGAATTCTCTGTCAAGGTCTGCGATGGTCTTTGGGAGTTTTTGTCACGGTCTGTGATGTCTTTGGGAGTTCTCTGTCATGGTCTGTGATGGTTTTTGGGAGTTCTTTGTCACGGTCTGTGATGGCTTTTGGGAGTTCTCTGTCACGGTTTGTG